AAATTAAAAGATGTTCAATCTCACTGGCAATTAGGGAAATGCAAATCAAAACTATGAGACAGACACCACCTCACACCTGTTAGAGTGGCCATTATCAACAATACAAGCAATAACAAGTGTTTGAGAGGTTGTGGAAAAAAGGGAACCCTCATCCACTGCTGGTGGGAATGTAGACTGGTACAACTACTATGGGAAACAGTCTGGCGATTCCTCAAAGAATTAAGAGTAGAGCCTGGCCGGTTTGGCTCAGTGGATAGTCGGCCTATGGACTGAAGGGTCTCAGGTTTGATTACGGTCGGAGGCACATGCCCGAGTTGTGGGCTCAGTCCCCAGTAGGGGGCGTGCAGGAGGCAGCCAATCGGTGATTCTCTCTCATCATTGATGTTTCTCTCTCTCTCTCCCTCTCCATTCCTCTCTGAAATAAATAAAAATATATATTAAAAAAAATTAAGAGTAGAGCTACCATATGACCCAGCAATCCTTCTCCTGAGTATATACTTGAAAACCTCAAAATCATGTGTTCGCAAAGATATATGAACCCCTATGCTCATTGCAGCATTATTCACGGTGGCCAAGACATGGAAACAACCATATTGTCCTGCGACAGAGGACTGGATAAAGAAGATGTAGTACAAATATACAATGGAATTCTATTAAGCCATAAGAAAAGATGAAATAGTGTCATTTGCAATAATGTGGATGGGCCTTGAGAACATTATGCTAAGTGAAATAAGTCAGTCAAAAAAGGCTATGAACTGCCCTAACCGGTTTGGCTCAGTGGATAGAGTGTCAGCCTGCGGGCTAAAGGGTCCCAGGTCCGACTGCAGTCAAGGGCATGTACTTGGTTGCAGGCACATCCCCAGTAGGGGGTGTGCAGGAGGCAGCTGATATTTCTCTCTCATTGATGTTTCTCTCTCATTGATGTTTCTAACTCTCTATCCCTCTCCCTTCCTCTCTGTAAAAAATCAATAAAATATGTTTCACAAAAAAAGGCTGCAAACATATGATTTCATTCATATGTAGGATATAAAACTGAAACTCATGAACAAAAACAGCAGTGTGGTAGTTGCCAGAGGGAAGGGATTGTTGGTAGAAGAGAGTCCTAATATATGGTGACAGGAGAAGATCTGACCATGGGCACCAGGTGCAATATACACATCTTGTAACATAGAAACTCACACCTGAAAACTGTATGTTCATATTGACCAATGTCACCCCAATAAATTTAGTTAAAAAAAAATTTTGCCCAGATATAAAAATAACTACTACAAGAGATAAATGAAGTATAAAAATGGCTCTAAATTCAAATAAAAATTAGAAAATGAGTGTTTTAAGTATGAAATTCTATACTTTCTTCTAATATCAAAAGTTTTTGTAATTTAAAACTGCTTAAGAGCTGATAATAGGTTTAACTATGAGTAGGAGTCATGTTTTGACAAAGAACTCTATGACAACCTTAGCATTTGAGTTTTAATATTAGTAACTATAATAATTTACATTCTTCCTACAAAGTACATAACTATGATTTCTGAATATATTTTTATATCACAAGCAAATACGAGTTTGGAAAATATTTAAAGTAATATAACAATTATTAAAGTTCCTTAGGTCTTCTAATATATATCCTGCAAACTTACCATCTGTACACTTTTTTCCAATTCTTGGGGAATCGCAAATGTAGATGAAGGAGCCTGAGTAAGAGGCCATGCGCCAGCCTAAAAGAAAATAAGTAAAATAAAAAAGTTAAATAGACAAGCATCTAACTTGTTAATAAATATTTATAAAATGATTTAAACTAAAGCACCTCTTTTTTCCTTTCTCAAAATGTTGATAAAACCCATTAGCATTACTATCTTGGCATATTTCATTCCAAATCAATATAACATATAACGTTAGAAGATACAATCCATTGATTAAAGAAAATGCAATGAGGCCTCTACTTGTTAATTGTTTGGATCAGGCTATTTGAAATGAGTAGTAAATGCCTACAATAAAACACATATTCATACCTGTAGAACATATATTTGAAAACTAATTCCCAAATCTATTACTGTGTCTTGATTTTTGATAAAATTGTTGAACTTATTGTTGAGATCAGCACTGACACTCATATCTGTATACATCCGATGTAGCTTGCTGGTAAACTCATAACCACATGCTTGCTGTAAAAACAGTTTAAGAAAAATGATTTAAAAAGAATAATAATAAACCATATTAATTAATGAGAACATGTTACTATTGCTAGTTCTATGGTCAAGGGTCTGCATATTATATTCATGTCTACTCTTCAGGAAAATTATCAACTACTGAATATTTTAGCATAAATATGTCTGAGCTACTACTTACTTCATCAAGGTGTAAGCTAAAATTATGCAAAAATAAACTAAAATTCAACTGCACTACAAAACTTGTACTTAAATAAATATTTCAGGTGCATTCATTTATAAATAATACAAATCTTTTGTTAAGTTAATACTGTTTATCTTGTGGATAAGTCTATATCAATATACAGAGTGTCCCAAAAAATGTATATACACTTTAATAGCTGACAGCTGTTAAATGAAAATCTACACTAATAAAAGACACAGATGCTCATTGACTGTACCTTTGCTACACCCCAAGCCATGCCTACCAGCCAATCAGAGTGACTATATGCAAATTAACCCAACCAAGATGGTGGCCAGCAGCCACAGAGCTGGAGCAAGTAGGAGGCTTGGTTGCCCAGGCAATGGAGGAAGCCAAGCTTCCCGCCTGCCCTGAGCCGGCTGTGGTCTCCGCTCATGGCAACAAAGTTTCAATTATAGAAGACAAATAAATCCTAGATACCTGCTTCCAGCCAACCTCCACTGGGAGCTTGGGTGGCTGGGGGCCGTGGCCAGCCTGAAAACGGCCCTCAGACCCTCACCCAGACTGGTCAGGCACCCCAGCAGAACCCCCAACCCTGAAGGGGCTGTGGCCAGCCTG